AGGTCATCTAGCATCTGTTGCTCTGGTCAGTGTTTATTTTTTAGAAATTGCAAAACAGCTCTCTCTATTTCTCTTGGACAGATGTTCCTTTCTTCCAAAAAGAAAAAGAATAATTCTTTTGGACAGAGCAATGGCATAGTCTCAGACCTTTCAACATTTTCTTCTAATGCAGAATTTTGGAAGCAAGTTCCTCCAAATGAGCCCTATCGTGTAATTCTTGGTGATGTGAGAGATAAGTTGTATCAGACACGCGAGCGTGCTCGCCAACTGTTAGCCCATGGATACTCTGAAATTCCAGAGGAAGCAACGTATACTAGTATTGAGCAGGTTTTATACTACTGCACTTTTTCTTTTCCTGTGACTGCTTTCCATGTACAGAACATCCTAAAATAAAGCAGTGAAAGTTCACTTAGTCTCTTTGGTCATATAACACTAATATGGTCATACGTTTTATGTAGTTCTTGGAACCTCTTGAGCTCTGCTACAGATCTCTTTGTGCTTGTGGTGATCGGTCCATTGCTGATGGTAGCCTTTTGGATTTCCTAAGACAAGTTTCTACCTTTGGACTTTCACTTGTGAGACTTGACATAAGACAAGAGTCGGACCGCCATACCGATGTGCTTGATGCTATTACTCAGCACTTAGAAATTGGTTCATATCGAGAATGGTCTGAAGAACGTAAACAAGAGTGGCTTCTGTCTGAACTCAGCGGCAAGAGACCTTTATTTGGACCTGATCTTCCAAAAACTGAAGAAATTGCCGACGTTTTGGACACATTCCATGTCATAGCCGAACTCCCAGCTGACTGCTTCGGGGCATACATCATCTCGATGGCCACTGCACCATCTGATGTGCTTGCAGTTGAGCTTCTACAGCGTGAATGCCGAGTGAAGCAACCTTTACGAGTTGTTCCACTTTTTGAGAAGTTGGCTGATCTGGATGCTGCTCCTGCTGCTGTTGCACGTCTTTTCTCAGTTGAGTGGTACAGAAACCGGATAAATGGCAAGCAAGAGGTCATGATCGGATACTCTGATTCTGGAAAGGATGCAGGTCGGTTATCAGCAGCGTGGCAGCTGTATAAGGCTCAAGAGGAGCTTGTAAAAGTTGCCAAGGAGTACGGCGTGAAGCTAACTATGTTCCACGGCAGAGGTGGTACCGTTGGAAGAGGAGGTGGCCCCACCCATCTTGCTATATTGTCTCAACCACCCGATACAATCCATGGAAATCTGCGTGTTACTGTTCAGGGTGAGGTCATTGAGCAATGTTTTGGGGAGGAACACTTGTGTTTTAGGACACTTCAGCGTTTTACTGCTGCTACCCTTGAACATGGGATGCATCCACCAGTCTCTCCAAAACCAGAATGGCGTGCGCTTATGGATGAAATTGCAGTTGTTGCTACAGAGAAGTATCGATCAATAGTTTTTAAAGAACCCCGATTCGTTGAGTATTTCCGCCTGGTAAGTATGCTAGCAATGAACTTGGTTATTAGTTGTAGATGTTGTGACAAATATTGCCTTGAGTTTTGTAATTGGTTATATCTTTTACCAATCATGAATGCAGGCCACACCCGAGTTAGAGTATGGTCGAATGAACATTGGCAGCCGTCCATCAAAGCGTAAACCCAGCGGAGGCATAGAATCACTTAGAGCTATTCCATGGATCTTTGCCTGGACTCAGACTAGATTCCATCTTCCTGTGTGGCTCGGCTTTGGAGCAGCATTTAAGTATGCCATCAACAAGGATATCAAAAACCTCCGCATGCTGCAGGAAATGTACAATGCATGGCCATTCTTTAGGGTAACAATTGATTTGGTTGAAATGGTGTTTGCCAAAGGAAACCCCAGCATTGCTGCATTATACGACAAGCTTCTGGTTTCAGAAGATTTGTGGTCCTTCGGTGAACAACTGAGATCAAACTACGAAGAGACAAAGAGCCTCCTGCTGCAGGTAAATTTTTTCTCAAAAGGATCAGTTATCACTTATCGTGCTTGATTGCTTCGCAATTGATTGTTCTACATTATCACATCTAAACCTCTGTTTTTTCTGCTTTTTTGATAGATTGCTGGACACAAGGATCTTTTGGAGGGCGATCCCTACTTGAGACAACGACTCAGGCTGCGCGACTCCTATATCACAACATTGAACGTGTGCCAAGCCTACACCCTAAAGCGTATTCGTGACCCCAACTACAGTGTCACACCAAGGCCACACATATCCAAGGAATACATGGAATCAAAGCCAGCTGCTGAACTTGTGAAGCTGAACCCGACTAGCGAATACGCCCCTGGCTTGGAGGACACACTCATCTTGACCATGAAGGGTATTGCTGCTGGAATGCAGAATACTGGTTAAGCTTATTCTGTTTCATGTTTATCTTTTTTATATTTGAAAAGGCATCATCACCTGGAATATTGAAGATGTTGTCTTATCCTGTTGTGTTTTGAGGTGTTGAATTTGTACCCATTACTGGAAACTATACATTATGATCATGTATCGTTAAGTTTCTGGGCAAAAAGCTCCGAATTGGGACCAGCATTGAGCAAGGTTGCTTGCTGTGGAATGAACTAGAATCCATCGTTCACTGGAATCCCTATTTTCTATTCCAATTTCCAATTTTAGTAACTCTGAACATCATACACTCGTTTGGTTTTGATGTATTAGATGAAATAAATCATGGTATAAAATTTGGTATTTGAATCCAGTGTTTGGTTTGTATTTTGAATACAGCATAGCTAACTAATGCTGGTATAATTTATGGAAAAATACAATATTTGTCGGTCGGCCAATACTAGTTGCATTATGTAGCCAAAAGGTGTATAAAATATGTATATTATAATGTATATAATATACATATACCAAAAAAATCATTTTGTTGACTACTTTTTGGAGTAGCTAAAAATATACATTTCTCTATAATTTAATACACCAATTGGAGTATTATTATGTAACTAATATGATATGGAATAATACATCGATTAAACGCCAAAAGACAAACTTGCGAGCGTGGATGGAATGGATTGCATGGGGTTCGGTAGTAATTTGGAGCACCTAGTTCGTGAATAGAAGCTTACAATTAAGAGAGTTGACCAAAGTCAACATTTTCGGTCAACGGACTCGTAATCGGAATTTGAACGTTCCAATAAGTTCATATGATGATTTTAGACTGGTACGTATATTCAGATTGGATCTCGGGTGGCCCGTGGTTGATTCAGCGCTTTAAGTTGAAAGTTGGCAATTTGAATAACTTAAGAGTTCACAAGTTTGACTCAAGTTTGATTTTTATGTTATTGCGCTTCGATTCGTATTTTGTGACTTTAATTAAGTTCAAATAGGTCATTTGGACTTGTTGGAATGGTTTAGAGGCAAGTATCTTGCTTAACCTCGAGCTGAGGGACTATTTCTAAAATTAGGCTTACATGTTATATGTTATGCGTTTGGGAGTGACGTATATGAGAGATTACGAATGTACATGCGGGTACTAAGGTTACAACTGGTGATGACAAGTACGCCTTCATTTCTCGCAGTGCTTGTACGCACTCAGACGTCCACTCGAGGTCGTTATCTTTTATGAATATGCTAAAAAACTTGTGACATCTATCAGACGACCACGAGATGAATCTAGATAAGGCGGCAATTAGCCTAGTCAGTCTTTGGAATTGCTTCTTAGTAGTCAATTACTCGGGTATCTCGTCGATAGCCTTGATTTGATCTGGGCTGACCTAAATTCCTCGATGTGATACTAAGAAGCCCAAAAAGTTTCCCAAGGCTACGCCAAACGCGCATTTCTCGGGGTTTAGTTTCATTCTGTACTGTCTCAGTATATCGAAAGCCTCCTTTAGGTGGTCGATATGATCCTCTGCCTTTACAGATTTGACCAACACATCGTCGATATATACCTTCATGGTTTTGCCGAGTTGGTCTTTGAATATTTTTGTGACCAACCTTTGGTAGGTAGCCCCTACGTTCTTTAACCCAAACGGCATGACGCTATAAGAATATGTTCCCCCTGTGGGTGATGAACGTAGTTTTATCTTAGTTTTCTTCCTCCATGGGTATCTGGTTGTAACCTGAGTATGCGTCCAGGAAACTCAACAGCACGTGCCTTGCCGTTGCGTTGATGAGTTGGTCGATATGTAGTAGCGGGAATGAATCTTTTGGGTATGCTTTGTTTAGGTTTGTGAAGTCCACACACATCCTCCATTTCCCGTTTTTCTTTTTGACAATCACTACATTGGCAATCCATTTGGGGTATTTCGATTCCCTGATAGAGCCATTTTCCAATAACTTTTATACTTCCTCGTGGACGGCCTCATTGATGGTAGGGTTGAACTTTTGTCGGACCTGCCTTATCGGGTGATAGAAAGGGTCGACGTTCAGTTTGTGTGTGGCGATTTATTTGGGGATGCTTGGCATATCTTCATGACTAAAGGCAAACAAATCTGCGTTAGCTATTAAGAATTGACTAAATTTTCCTCGTTCTCGGAGTTTGCAACCGATGCAGGCCTTTTTACTAATGTCACTGTGGTCTAATTGGACGGGGTCGAGATATTCTATGGTTGACTCTACAGCTTCGACCGTCTCGGGATCCATAATGTCTTCCTTAGCTTCATCTTGTGACAACCTCGACCCTGCTGATTTCTATGATTCTTTTTCCTTATCCTTCTTTTGTTGAGTTATCGTGCTATCCGTGGCGATTCGGTAGCACTCCGGGGATGTGCGTTGTTCCCCTCGTATGCTAAATATTCCCCAAGTTGTTAGGAATTTGATCACTTAGTATAAGCTAGAAGGACGACTCTCATGAGGTGTATCCATGTTCGTCTCACGATAGCGTTGTACGTAGTGTCCTGGTTCATGATGTGGAATATTGTCTCTAGAGTTAACCCACCGGCTAGAACAGGGAGTGCAATTTCTCCCGAAGTTCGTTCAACTGCATTGTTAAAATCGGTTAGTGTGATGTAACGTGGCACTATCTTATCCTCGAGTCTCATCTGTGCGGGGGCTCAGAGATGGATGATGCACGCCCCACTTCCGTTGTCTACCATGATTCTCTTAACATCAGTATCTAAAATTCGTAAAGTAATGACAAGTGCATCATTGTGAGGGAAAGTCAAACCATCAGCATCTAACTCATCAAAAATGATACTCTCTTCGAGTCCATCATACCGTTCGTGGGTGATCGATCTTTTGAGTTTGTGGGTGGAGGTGAACTTGATGTCATTGATAGATGCGTCTCCGCTGCCACCAATAATCAAATTGATGGCACGAGCTGGTGAAGAGGGCTTTAGCGGGCCTGGACGTTCTCGACCTATTGCTAAGGTGTTCCTGCCTTTGTCGCTGAGCAGTTTTTTGAGGTGCCCTTACTGAAGCAGGTTCGCTACCTCTAGCCTTAGGGCGATGCAGTCTTGGTGGAATTCGTAGAGGGCATCGGATTTCCTGATGCTCGGATCGAACCTCATCTTTGGTAGCTATTTTACCTTTGTTCCGAGCTTCTCAAGGGTGTAGACCACCTCTGTAGATGAAACACAAAAATTGTGAATAGACAACAAGGGGGCATACCTCTAGGCCGTCTTCATATCGAAAGGGGGGAGGAGCGGGCGTCCTGACGTAGGGCTGATGTCGCTCCCTGTCTGGCCCCGGTACAGGATAATCTCTCTTCATGTTATCTGTGTGTTCTTTCCTGGGCTCGGATTGTACCGAGGTAAGTCGTCGAGTTGGTCCGTTGAGGTCGTCATCATCTGCTCTGACCTTGGCACAGTAGGCATTATGGATTTCATCCCAAGTGGTTGGTGGATACTTCATTAACCGGCTCAATAGTTTTTTGGTCGCTTTCGAACCCTTTCTGCTCAATCCATTCTGAAAAGCTGTAATGGCCATTCCTTCGGAAACATTTGGTGAGGTCATCCTCACCCTGTTGAACCGGGCGATGAAGTCTCTTAGTCCCTTTCCTAGGGATTGCTTGATGGCGAAGATGTCGTTCACTCTTGTTTCGACTTTCTTGGCCCCGACATGTGCCATCACAGACTTATCAGCCATCTCTTCGAACGTCCCCTTGTTGTGTTGCATGGACTCTCGTGGTTTCTATAGTCATGCATGGAGCTTGTTTGCTGAGCATGTTGATTAGGGTATCAATTAGCCATGCATCGAGGGGTTTTTCATAGCGGGTGGCGTTACCTCTCCCGCGGACGTGGAGGGTCCTTTCCCATTTGGTTTTGTTGTGCTGCAGAAAGGTGGGGGTAACCTTTCTCATCTGGGAGAGGCCGTGGGCGTTATCCCCTCATCATGGGTGTCATAACCTTCGTTGATAGCATTCATGAGGTTGAAGCGAACATTATCTGTTTCCCTCGTTTCGTTTCCTTGGTTACCTATCATGATAATTTTGTACGCATAAAGAAGAGAGATGAACTTTGTGGTTTGTTAGATTAACAAGTCATGTGAGTTGTAAATCTAATGGACTAAAAGATTGGCTGAGAAAATCCCCACATACGACGCCAAACTATTTGACCCAAAATTTAAATCTTGGTTTAAACAATTAGATTTTCTAATAGAATAGATTTAATCTTAGCCTATATTAATATCCAAAAGATTATTTAACTAATTTCGTGACAAAATGTCACAAGTTCCGTTTAAATTGCAGTAAATGCGTAACAATAAAAAGTGTCCAATGGCCCAAGAATAAAGAGAATAGCATTAAATAGTAATAAATGATATATAATGGCATTTATATAAATAAATGCACGTGAGGTAACCGAAAATGGGTGAGATTCAGTGATATTTCTCCTGACAATGATAAATGATTGATGAGCCTTTGAATATTCGGATTCTCCTTGGATCGTGGGAGAAAAACTAGATACTGATTTGAAGAAAAAGGTGTATTTTGTATGTATGTAATTAAGCAAGAATCTTCAGAGAATGTCAATACGTTGTTCTTTACAATGAGTGTCCAATCCCCATTTGTAGCTACATATCTTTCTATTTATAAGGGCACATGGGCCACAAAAATTCTAATAGTACAGATTGGAGTAATATTCTCCTTAAAGTCTTATCATTAAAACTAGTTGTTATTGTCCTTCTAAAGGGAGTGCTCGTCCTCGTTCCTGTGATGAGTCAGCTCGACCTCGATTTTGTCCTTCGTCAGATCACTTCGACCTCGCCTTCATCCTTTGTTGAGAACACATTGATGACGCGTGGTAGCCTTCGAAGGCTCTCTTAATGTTGACTCGCCCACATATAATTACGATAATTTTAGCCCATACAGTAAGTACAACGATTCTCTACTGCTTTGAAAAGGTACAACTTCTTATTTTTGCCCCGCAATTTATTCTTACAACCCGATATCAATAATGGTAGGAAGGAGATAGTAGATATGAGATGAAATAGTCAAGCATAGTACAAGAGAGCTCAATTCCAAGAAATGTTGTGCGAAGGGCATCTTTTCTCATGAACAAGAAAAAACTAGATACATTGAACTAGGGTTGTGCATAATTTGGTAAATACCGAATTACCGTATCGAAATTAAAAATTTTGGTATTTAGTATTCGATATTTGGGTATTCGGTATGGTATTTGGTTTAATTTTAAAACAAAATTGGTATAAATATAAAAAATCTAAAATTTATTTTTTTTTATTCTCTAAGTTCATCAATTAACTCTAAGCAAGTAACAAGACATTTCTAATGATCAAATTTATTCCTTTATATACAGTTTTCTCTCTCTGGGTTGATATTTGCTTATTTTGGATAAAACTTTTGTCAATAAACATTTTTAGTCTTATACTTTTGAGTGCTTTAATTAAGAATATTATTACAGTCTCTGGCTCTACATACTAGTTAGTATTCAAATCGAATAAATCGAAGTTATCAAACCGAATAAACCGAAAGGAGAAAAACCGAACCATATCGAATTTAATTAGGTACGATATTGGTATAGTATTTTAAGAAATCAAATACCAAAAATACTGAACCAGAATATCTAAATATCGTATCGTACCGACCGACAAATACCCCTTCGTCGAACAGAAATGACTAGTGGTAAGTGGTCATGAACAGAAATGACTAGTGGTAAGTGAAGATTGACCATAAGAACTTGGCCACAAAAATATTGAGTAACTTTTAATTACTCTGCAATTTGATGATGCCTATACCCTACACGGCTACACCCTAGCCTTCTAGTCCTAAACCACCCTCTGTTAGCTTTTTCTTCTTCTTTTCGTTTTTGTTTTGTTTAATTTGTATGGAAGTTGGAACTATCGTTGCAGCACTCGTATATATGCTCATGCCATTGGCTTGCCAGTTCTGGCAATTATTATTAGTGTGGACTGTGGACTTACAGTGTTATATATAGTTTGATGCCGAAAAAAACTCACTCATTTTTTGATATTTATATAAAATTATAATAAATTTATAACAATATTATAGATGTTAAGATTAAAAAGATTTCAAACTCTTCTACTGCTCCCACTGATAGTGCACCGACTGTCCTTGAGACTAGAGTGTGTGCGCGCGCGTGTGGACTGAGACTACCCCACTATCTAGCAAAGATGAAACAATTTTTAAAGTCTTTCAACCTTTAATTGTCTTTTTGCCACACGCCCCTTCCATCAGGGAACACACTGCCATGGCTTATCCATGTACATGCTGTTGATACGAAATATAAATTTATATATAAAAATTTATTAAAATTATAATATATAATTAATATGAACCCATAAATTTATAATATAATGGGTTCAATACTAAATATCTTAAAAGTTGAACTCATATAGTTCATATCTTGGATTTGTCTATGCACATTGAATTATTATTTGGAAAAACCGTCCAAAAACCATAATTAAGTTAACAAAGAATCCTGGACATTAATAAACAAGTAGAATAACTGACATACTTAGTTGCTTTTAACTTGTACTAATGTACTGCGTGATTTAACTTTCCATTCCCCCGTTTGAATTAGTCTAACGTAGAAAGTCTTACTAATTTTACATAGTTTGTGTACTTGTGAACGGCCTTTATATATGCGAAGCTGAGGATTCATGTTAGCAGAGGCCGTGTCAAGAATTTAAGTCGAATTACTACTTTATACGGGTAAAATCAAGCTCGATATTCGATCCAGCTTCTGAATTTTTTGATTAGGCCAGGGTCGAAATATTTGTGATTGGGTGAAGTCGAGCTCGAAGATCGATCTGGCGTCTAACACCATCGACCAAGATCGACACATGCTGATTATGATCGAACCCAAAGCATTGTCAAAGTTAGCCATCGAAACCATCAGATTTGCCCTTGAGTTTACCGAAGGCGTAACCGGTCCTGTTTCCAACGGCCTAGAAGAAAGCTTTGCCAACTCATCCGACATGGGTCCATAATTCTCGCCATTAGCCAGTTATTATGGCAGAAATCACGGAATGATTCAAAAAGGAAACCAACGGTCAACAAATCAAGGACTTTTGCCTTTTGTAGAATAATAAAAGAATACCTTAAAAGGTAGATCTCCCCTAATATATAAAGGAAACTTGACAATTCATTAGGAACATTGTAACATATACGGATAAGCAATACATTCTCTAAATTCTTGCTCTTTGATATTTTTGTGTCAATAAAAATGTATTCAACTCAAGGGTGACTTGCTTCCTTACGTTGAAATCATCCAACTCACGTGGTTTGCAGTTAAATTATCGTCATTTATTTCAGCTGCAATCTAATTTATCGCTTTGTATCAAGTTAATCCGCATATCCTTAAAATCACTAACAAATTCAACTGTTATCCAATTTTGAGGGTAAACCGTTTGGCGTCCACCGTGGGGCTAAGGATAATAGTGGTTATTTGATACAAATCTCCATAACACACACTACTTTACGCTTGCTCTTTGAAGTGTCTTTGATTTCAGGCTAAAAATGTCAAACTCTCAATTAGCACCCCTACATATCGATAACGAGTCCGATCATCAAGGTGAGAATAACAACATGGCGCCCAGTAACGTAGAGCCACCTGCTGGTCCCGTTGGGATTCCGATCGCAGATCCAATTAATGTTAATTCACATGTGGCTATCGACGCAAACTTGCCTACCGACCCTGAAAATAGAGTTCGTGGTGGGGCCCGATCGACATCTCGAAATACACAAAATAATAAAGAAGACGGAATCAGCCTACAGATGATCTTCGAAATGTTGCAAGCTCAACATGTGGCGATAACTCAGTTGCAGATCCAAATCCAGGCGCCGAGCAGAGTCAAACCCGATCCGCCCCGTGAAGTCACCCGTAGAAATGAACCGGTCGTGGTAAGGTCAAATGAAAAAGAATCGGGTACGGACCCCCGAGATTATAAAGATGCTCGAGGATTGACAAAGTGGATAGAATCAGGGAAAAAGAAAATCGAAGCGAACAACAAAAAAGGTGGAAACCTATAATTCCAGGGTAGATCAAATCCCAGGAGCACCTCCGATAATGAAAGGACTGGATTCTAGGAAGTTCGTGCAAAAATATTTTCCTCCGAGCGCGGCTCCGAAGACAATCCCCAAGAAATTCCGTATGCCCGAAATACCTAAGTATAACGGAACGACCGATCCAAATGAGCATGTAACCTCTTACACATGTGCTATCAAAGGGAATGACTTGGAAGACGACGAGATCGAGTCTGTTCTACTAAAAGAATTTAGAGAGACCCTGTAAAAGGAAGCTACGATATGGTATCACAAATTACCTTCTAATTCTATCGACTCATTTGCTTTGCTTGCAGACTCCTTCGTAAAAGAACATGTTGGTGCCATCAAGGTCGAAACCAGGAAATCGGACCTTTTCAAAGTTAAACAGAAGGATAACGAGATGCTCAGAAAATTCATGTCCCATTTTTAAATCGAACGAATGGATCTACCGCCAGTCGCCGATGATTGGGCTGTTTAAGATTTCACTCAGGGACTCAATATTCGGAGCTCGGTGGCTTCACAGCAACTGAAGCAGAATCTGTTAAAATACCCTGCCGTTATCTGGGCCGATGTACATAACCGATATCAATCGAAAATTAGAGTTGAAGATGACCAACCTGGG